ACAAAGGTCCGTCTAGTCAAAGCTTTGTTTTTTCCAGTAGTCATGTATGGATGTGAGAGCTGGACTATAAAGAAAGCTGAGCACCAAAGAATTGATGCTTTTGAACTGTGGTGTTGGAGAAGACTCTTGAGTGTCCCTTGGACAGCAATGAGATCCAACCAGTCCATCCTAAAGGAGATCAATCCTGAGTATTCATTGGAAGGACTGATGCCAAAGCTGAAACACCAATACTTTGGCCACCTGATGGGAAGAGCTGACTCATTTGAAAAGACCCTGATGCTGGGAAAGATTGAAGACAGGAGGAGAAGGGGACGACAGAGGATGAGATGGTTGGATGGCATCACTGACTGAATGGACATGAGTTTGAGCAAGCTCTGGGAGTTGGTGATGGACAAGGAGGCCTGGCGTGCTGCAGTCCATGGACACGAGTGAGCGACTGAACCAAACTGACTCCCAAAGTATACTTCTTACCTCTGGTCTCTCTACTCTCCTGGCCAACTGATCCTTCCCCAATGCCAATAGTTACCCTTATAAAACATGTATGTGATCATGACACTTCTTTCTCTACTTAAAAAGGCTCACTGCTGTCTACAGAACTGTGTCCAAGAGCTCAGCACAGGAGGCCTCTCCCAGTTGGCCCTGACCTTCCTTCTCAGCCTCTGCTTTGGATATCTGGCTCTTCACCCAACACTCTTACATAAAACAGCCCCACAGGAAACTAGGGCAGTCAGGGATTCCACAGTTAACCTCCTGTGTCGCAAAATGGAAAGGAAAGATTTTTTTCACTTTTTCCTTACATTCTATTCTGTTGTTATAAAGTAAAAAGATTTGCCTAGAAATTAAATTTAAAAAAGCCATATAACTAAAAACAATGTGCACACACTCACTTGAAACACATGTATGTTTTACTATTTTTTTTTTAAAATAATTTTCACCTACTGTCAAAGATCTGGTATTTCAGAGGAGGGCATCCTATAATTCATTGGCAATTCCCTCAGAGTAGGATTGTCCTTCTCCCTGAAATGCAACAATTTCTCTTTCTAAGGTGGCAAACTACTTACTACTCACTGTTTAAATCCAGTTCAAATATCTCTTCTCTGGGAAGCTTTTTCCCCAGCCTTTTATTTGGTGCATTTTTCTTTCCTCAAGGCTCCGGAAGAGGGATCAGCTCTCTTATAGCTCTACAGTACTGCCTGTAATTACTTATTTATACAAAATAGATCTTGAGACTCTTTAGGGCAGAGTTCTACTCTGAGTCCCTTGTTCTTATTTGGTGGTTGGCCCACAGTAAGAAATCTTATCACTGGATACAAGAATGAATAAAGTCTCAAAGTCCCTACTCTCTTTAGATCTAGCACCATTNGCTGGGGCAGCGCGAGCCGGGGAGGCGCTGGGGGCGTCGCCCACGGCCGCCGGGCTCGGCTCGCAGGGTCGGGCTGCGGTTGGCCACAAGAGGCATCCATCTTCCTGGAGAAGCGCCGCGCTTGCTTACCGCGCGGGTGGGGAGGAGCGGGGCGAGGGTGGAGAAGGGAGCGAGCGGTCGGTCGGGCCCCTCCCGCGAGCCCTGCCCCGCCTTGCCGAGCCCGGCGCGGCCGCCCGGGCCGCTGCCGCCCGCAGCTCTCTCCCCAGGCGCCGGGGAGCCGCGGGCCGTGAGCGCGCCTGCAACTTTGCGGCCGCCAGGGGCGCGGCTCCTCCCGGGGCGCGTGCGGGTGTGCGGGTAGCCGGCGGCCTCCTGGGGGCAGCAGCGGCAAGGGGGACGGCGAGAAAGAGGCCGTCTCGGCGCCCGGTGGCCCAGGAGGCGGAGGCCCCGCGAGGCGCCGGCGGTGGAAACCTAAACTCCGCCGGGGCTGCGCCCAGGACGCGTAAGCCATCCTCGCGGCGGCCGCCCGGGACTCGCTTTGGGATCGCGATTCGTCTCCCCTGCCCCGGGCAGTAGCAGCCGTGTGTGCCGACGGAGGAGCGGCAGCAGCATCCCCAGCCGGGGCGGGACCCCTGAGCGCCGGAGCGGGCGGCCGAGCAGGAAGGGAGGGTCGCGGCGCCCGCCCTCCCCGGCTGGCCCTGCCCCACGCGCCCGGTGCGGGGGGCTAACAATGGTGCGGAGCGCCGGCGCGATCCCCGCGTCCGCCCAGCGGCTATAGAGGAAGTGGCCGGGCCCCGGGTGGGGTGGGCAGGGAGACGCCCCCCGCCACTCGCCCGCTGGAGTTCGCCGGCGCGCCGGGCCTCGCCGGCCGCGAGCCCTGGGCTCCCCGCCGCATCGCCGACGGCAGCTCGATCCCGAGAGTATGGTGCCAGCGCCCGGGTTAATCTAGTCCTCGGCTCGCTCCTTTTTCCCCTCCTCCTCCTCTCCCCCCCGTCGGTGCTGCTTCTGGGGTCCCGGCATTTGGGAGTACAACTCTCCGCTTCTCCGAGGAGACTGCCTGGTCGGTGAGCCCTCACAGAACTTGCCCATTGAGAGCCAACCCCGAACAGCTGGATAATGTCCACTCCGAGCAGATTCAAAAAGGACAAAGAGATCATCGCCGAGTATGAAAGTCAAGTCAAAGGTACGGGTGGGAGCGGCTGCCTCGCTCCTTTTGTGTGCTTCCTTGGCATTGTGCTCCGGGAGTCGCGTTTCTAACTTGGGGGTCTGCGCTGGAGGAAGGTCGCGAGGGACCGCCGGAGCGCCTGGTTGAACCACCCGGGGCTTCGTGAAAGCCAGGCTCAGCTCCAGTCCCGTCGGGTCCACGGGGAGCTGGAAACCGGGTGGCTCTCCCCCGCTGCCAGCTCGCCGCCTCCAACAGGGGAGAACTGGCTTTAAATTAACCACCTTTTGCCGGCGACTTACACAGGAGGTGGGCAGCGGCGGAGGTTCCCGCTAGGGATCTTCACCAGCATCTTTGTTGGTTTTTTTTTTTTAAGAATAATACCATTGTCACAGCCATTGATACATTGTCATGTAATTTTTTTTTTTCTTTTAAGCAGTCATTTTTCTGAAGTCTGGACCCGAAGTGGTCTAGAGCTTCCTTGAGTGCAGGAAATTGGAGACATTTGCACTAATCACTAATTTATCAGGGCGAGTCCCCCTTCTATAAAACAGCTCCCTAAAAGCCTGGCAGTTAAACCAAGAAAGGACTAGTGGAATCTGACTCTTCCTCTATAATGGGCCGGAATTCAGTGCCATCTTTCACACTCACACGGGAATATTGCTTTATCATTTGCTGAAGGCCACTTGCATGTAAAATGAAGGTTTGAATGTTTGAGTAGTAGTTTGAATCCATTTACATGGTCACCTAATGAAGGAATCTAGTTACGGTTGATTATGGCATTTTTACTGAATGTGTCTTGCGGTTTAAAATATATATTTTTCTCTCTGGTACAAGTATTTTGTGTTGCTGTTGAAGTGTTTAATAAACATATATTTGTTGTTTATTTTTTCTCTTCCTCTATGGTCTCTCACTGGTAGCTTTTCCCATCCATTGAGACAATGGATGGAGTGTTGAGGTTACTGCTGTTCTTTGGAATATTCAGTGCAAAGTTGATAAAAATTGCTTTGTAGACACCTGTGTTTGTACAGACACAATCTTATGAAAGGGCTGCAGAGAAAGGCATTCCTGTACTTGTCTTGGGAAAGTCAGGAGCAGCCTCGGAGTTCTTTTGTGTGGTCAAGTTGTGAAAATGCCTGGAGTCCGGTGAAAGGACCTGGTAGGGAAACCCTCTGTGAATCAGTGAGAATCTGGACCGACTTATGACCAGAGGCAAACACTATCTGCAAGCCCAGGGACTTATATTTCCTTCAGGTTGACTCCAGTAATGGAGTGAAGATGAACACTCTTCAGGAAACAGATTTTTATCTGCTTGCAGTTATAAGATAATGTATGCTTGTGGGAACTGGTTACATTGACATGGAAGTTATTTTAGCAGAGAAATAATTATTTGCTTAGAGACAGATAAACTTTCTAATGAGCATAACCTTTCTTTTCTTAACAAGTCAACAGCCTTTCTGTTCTTTCTTTCGGGAGTTCTTTCAGGTAGAACTCCCGTTCACAATCATCATTTCTCTGTGCAGTTTTTCTGCATGGCTCTTTGTGGCAGGTCTTCAAGGGGTGGCAGTCTGGCTTTTGTACTGTCTGCAGCGCTGACTGGCAGCTTCTACTTCCAAGAACTGGTTTCTTTATTTCTGCTCTAAGGTTGTTTGTTCATGATGAAGTCCGTATCTGAAAAATATTCTCATGATTAGTGAATTCTATAGTTACCTGGTAACTTATATACTTTGAGAGTTTAGGCCCTGAACATTGGTTTAAAAATCAATAAAATGGGATGTGTTGCCGTGTTTAAAACGTGACCATCAAATCCAATCCAAGGAAAAATTATGAACATGGTGAAAATTATTTTTGGAACCGATTCCGACCCCTAAAAAGTAGTCTATTCCCTCCAGCCCACCTCACTCACCTGGGAGTCCTCAGGCAGCTTTGTGACTCTTGGCTGCGCCTGAACTGCCTTTCTCGTCGGGCTCTGTGTCCACATTCATCTGCTTCCTCTGCAATGCTGACACATCCTGTGTCTAACCCAGACCCTTACTGTTGTTGACGTTCAGTCGCTAAGTCATATCCAGCTCTTCATGACCCCATGGGCTGAACTGTCATCTTCCCCTTTTCACACACGCCATTCTCAGGACAACTGCACTTCTTACGATAACTGGGTCCGAGATACCCAGGGGGACGCTGCAAAGCTTCTCACCACCTAGCCCCAGAAGTTCCAGAATCACTTTTGCCATATTCTATTGATTGTTGTTCAGGTGCTGAGTTGTTTCCCACCCGTGGACTGCAGCACACCCAGCTCCTCTGTCCTTAACTATCTCCCAGAGTTTGCTCAAATTCCTATCCATTGAGTTGGGGACGTTATCAAACCATCTCACCCTCTGCCACCCCCTTCTCCTTTTTTTTTTTCCCCCTTCTCCTTTTGCAGCCAACCTTTCCCAACATCAGAGGCTTTTCCAGTTAGTCAACTCTTTGCATCACGTGGCCAAAGTGTTGAAGCTTCAGTGAATAGTCAGGGTTGATTTCCTTTAGGATTGACTGGTTTGATCTCGTTTCCCCTAATACCAGATCCTTATATCCATATGTCAATATGGGAGTAGGGAAATCCAATGGAATTGGACCATATACACTTTGAATGGCACAAATTCACCTGAATTTACTAGGCAATATCAAGAAGACAATGAGAGAGAAATGAGAATTAAATAGTGCCTGAGGCCTGCTGTCTGTGAAGTGAGAATAGGTCCCTCATTAAGAATAGTTTCAGAGGTAGGATCCTGGTTTTCTGTTTCTTTTCCTCCCCTCTTTAAGGTTGAGTGTCTCATCCAGGCAGAATGCTAGTCCACTAGTTAAAGACAGGTGGTTTTGGAACAACCAACTCTTTCAGTTCTAGCAGTTATTTCATCTGATGGTAAACAAAAGGAAGATGGCTCATTCTATCGCTGGAGGAAAACCTAGCTGTATTGGGCTCATTAAGAGAAGACTTAACAGGTCTCTTCTGAATTAATAAAGCCACATATATTGAACTCTCTGGATGACTTACATATATGGGAGAGTCACCTTTGCTTTAACTTTTTTCGTAATGAATTCATATCTGAGTTCTCAGGGAATTAAAGTGTAATACCCAGGTAGAGCAGTAGTAAAGAATCCACCTGCCAATGCTGAAAACAGAAGAGGTGGGTTCGATCCCTGGGTCAGGAAGATCCCTTGGAGTAGGAGGTGGCAACCCACTCCAGTATTCTTGCCTGCAAAATTCTATGGCAGAGGAATCTGGCGGGCTGTCAGACATGACTGAGCACTCATGTACTCATTCATTCACGTAGAGAACACAGAAAAAATAATAAAATCACATTCAGAAAAGTAGAGAACGGGATTGTAAGAGGGGGAAGAATTGGAGGTTATGACTAGTTAAAGGAACAGATAGGTTTAAATCAAGGACAAAAACACCCCAAGCAATAATTTAAAAGGCATGTGTTAGGAGGAGAAGGATTATTTCATGCATGTTGGTCAATTTCCCAAAGATTACTGCACTTCTTACGATAACTGGGTCCGAGATACCCAGGGGGACGCTGCAAAGCTTCTCACCACCTAGCCCCAGAAGTTCCAGAATCACTTTTGCCATATTCTATTGATTGTTGTTCAGGTGCTGAGTTGTTTCCCACCCGTGGACTGCAGCACACCCAGCTCCTCTGTCCTTAACTATCTCCCAGAGTTTGCTCAAATTCCTATCCATTGAGTTGGGGACGTTATCAAACCATCTCACCCTCTGCCACCCCCTTCTCCTTTTTTTTTTTCCCCCTTCTCCTTTTGCAGCCAACCTTTCCCAACATCAGAGGCTTTTCCAGTTAGTCAACTCTTTGCATCACGTGGCCAAAGTGTTGAAGCTTCAGTGAATAGTCAGGGTTGATTTCCTTTAGGATTGACTGGTTTGATCTCGTTTCCCCTAATACCAGATCCTTATATCCATATGTCAATATGGGAGTAGGGAAATCCAATGGAATTGGACCATATACACTTTGAATGGCACAAATTCACCTGAATTTACTAGGCAATATCAAGAAGACAATGAGAGAGAAATGAGAATTAAATAGTGCCTGAGGCCTGCTGTCTGTGAAGTGAGAATAGGTCCCTCATTAAGAATAGTTTCAGAGGTAGGATCCTGGTTTTCTGTTTCTTTTCCTCCCCTCTTTAAGGTTGAGTGTCTCATCCAGGCAGAATGCTAGTCCACTAGTTAAAGACAGGTGGTTTTGGAACAACCAACTCTTTCAGTTCTAGCAGTTATTTCATCTGATGGCAAACAAAAGGAAGATGGCTCATTCTATCGCTGGAGGAAAACCTAGCTGTATTGGGCTCATTAAGAGAAGACTTAACAGGTCTCTTCTGAATTAATAAAGCCACATATATTGAACTCTCTGGATGACTTACATATATGGGAGAGTCACCTTTGCTTTAACTTTTTTCGTAATGAATTCATATCTGAGTTCTCAGGGAATTAAAGTGTAATACCCAGGTAGAGCAGTAGTAAAGAATCCACCTGCCAATGCTGAAAACAGAAGAGGTGGGTTCGATCCCTGGGTCAGGAAGATCCCTTGGAGTAGGAGGTGGCAACCCACTCCAGTATTCTTGCCTGCAAAATTCTATGGCAGAGGAATCTGGCGGGCTGTCAGACATGACTGAGCACTCATGTACTCATTCATTCACGTAGAGAACACAGAAAAAATAATAAAATCACATTCAGAAAAGTAGAGAACGGGATTGTAAGAGGGGGAAGAATTGGAGGTTATGACTAGTTAAAGGAACAGATAGGTTTAAATCAAGGACAAAAACACCCCAAGCAATAATTTAAAAGGCATGTGTTAGGAGGAGAAGGATTATTTCATGCATGTTGGTCAATTTCCCAAAGATTCAGAATCCAGAGAAATTAATCTCTTGTTTGTGTGGGGCCTTAAAAAGCAAGCTGGTCTGGAAAAGTATATGAAACTCAGACCACCTGACTACACTACTTTTAGCATCTCTGGCAAAAAACTTAG